TCATTTATGACCGAACGTTGTGTATGTACGAACGGGTCGTTTACTTCGGCTCCAAGTCGGAACTTCACTTCAATATGTACTGACCGTAATCAGATGATGCGCTTCAACCTTTTATTTTCCATATCCTCCGCATCGCTTACGTTTCTTCAGTCCATTTCCAGCATCAGCAATCCCTCAAAACATTATTACCGTAAACAAGTACTTTATGATGATGCCACAACTTGACAAGCTCCGCTTGGACGCGGCGATGCAGCAGGTCAGTGCATGTCAGTGCAACATTGCGCGGTACCGCTCGGCGAGCGTGCTCGACTTTTCAAATTGCTCGGCGACGAACAGGCCACGGCAGCACTCATTTCTTCAATGCGCGAGCCAATGGAGGCGTCACAGGTGAACCGCTCGACGTCGCCGCCGCTGCCATCCGCACGCTCGCTCTTCCAGCGATCGCCGGACGTCTCGGCCGACTGCCAGCGGCCTCTACCGCGTCTACACCCACTACCGCCACGGTCTCCTACGCTCGGAGACGGCGGTGACAAGTCGCTGCTTGTGTTCGTGCACCCGGACAGAGCCACCGCTGCTGGTTTGCAGCCCATTCGAGCGATGTCACCCCGTTCCGTGGCAGTAGCTGGAGGCGAAACACAGGAGGTAGAACCGCCAGGGAAGGCCGTCGATAGAGCGGTAAAAGACAAGAAACGTACGCGCGACTATGACGAGAACAGAGCCAGCTCGGATGACTTGACGGAGGGCGAGACTCCGCGATGTCGGAAGCGCAGCAATTCAACGTGCAAGGCCAGGAAACCCACGTACCTCGTTCGAAAGGTAGCGACATCATTAGGAGGTTATGAATGCATTGGAATTAACAGATTATGCTGCATGTAGGAGGAGAAGGACGAGCTGACCAAGCAGATCGACAAACTGGAGGCCCAACTGGAATATCTCAAGCACACTGCGTCCATCAGACCCGAGTGCTTTGAACGAGCGGTGGTGAGACGAACAGATCACAAGTATTTCGAGCAAGAAATGCACAACCATCTGCTACGTGAAGCTGTGCGCAACCAGCACTTCCAGCTCTTCAGTGCTCAGTCAGCACTGTCGGAACTCGCGGTAAGTTTAATGTCTTAGGACCAAGATATTTTTCCCATACTGACAATACTTTTCCAGTACTCGATACAACAGGATCAGTGCCCCATCAACACCTTCATCCATCTCGGCTGTGATATCCAGCAACGCCGCTCAGTGTTGGAAAGTATGAAGACTCAAAAACTACGAGATGCCAAGCAGCTCATGGACAAACGCATACAATTTTTAAGAGACCCAGCCGAGCAACGTCGCGAGACCGCCCAGTTCCCTACAGACTCGGGATCTCTTTGCTCGGTGGTGTTTGACGTGACTCCACTTGACTCCGGAGTGGAAGTCAAGGACATTGAACACGCCTATCGAGCTGCTTGTGCATACTCCAAGCGTATGGGCACGATGGTGCCTCCCTACACTGGCGATGACTCGGGTGTAGTGCACAGTCGCCTCCAAGTGGACACATCGCCGGATCTGCCCACGGAATCGAATTTTGTGGTTTTTTCGGAACTGCAAGTTCCGAATTTCGGATCACAGTCCGAACCCAGTGAAGAGCGACATAGTGAACCTCTTGGGTTGCTGGTAATTGACTCAGTGGATGAAGACGAGTTGCATCCCTTTCGACCGGATGAATTCTTGAGAGAAGATGTCAACGCAGTGATCACGATTTCGA